GGGTGTGGGTGTGGGTGTGGGTGTGGGTGTAAGTGTAATATACATATAGTCGCACAATTCGTAGCCGCCCTTCAGCAGTTGATAAAGGAAATCTGCTTTCGTTCGTGAACAAAACGCACTTCCCATTGACGCCTATAATTTTTCTTCTTGCTGTCTACTATGCTGCCGCGCCAATCAAAAGCGCGTCGTCGTCTCAGATGCATTAATGGCAGTCTAAGGGCCTTCTTGATCTAAGGCCCGAACGTACGAGACGGTTTCTCACAGTGAAGAAATAATTATTTCCACGCACTCTTTGGATACCTTGAGCCGTTGTTGCTGAAAGAAGGAATCATCTCCGTAGATGCCACAGCAAAATGTGTCGATCTTGAGCAAGGTTGGTGACTCGAGGCTGTCTTGTTCTCTGTCTGTCACCCAAATGTCAGAGCGCTGAGATCCTTGGGTAAATCGAAAAACATATGAGATACTGCACTTAAGCCTTCTCACTACTCCTTTGACTGATGCTTTGCGTTGAACCAGACCATACCAATACAGCTTCGTTTGTGATTAAGTTAGTATTGAAACTGACCGCATAAAAGACAGGGCTTTTGTTTGGCAGGAGCTTCTTGCCCTCATCTGGGTGAATTAGCTGTTTTCATGAGTAACATTGTATCTCATAACCACATGTTACTAAAATGTGTCACGATGCAGTGTTGTCAGAAAAGTAAGTACTCAAAATGGAACATATCTGAGTGAACTATGTGAACTAATATCTACTCACCCGTGTGTCCAAAGATCGTACTGTCAGAGCTTATTGGCACTCTTTTAGCCTTTTTAATTAAGATTTGCGTTTTCAATGGCGTTCAGTATATTTTATAAGCATATGTACCGTGTCTACACAGATATATTGTATTATATATATATATATATCCAGGTGTATATTAATATACGCATATCAATGCAATCGTTATTGCTGCCAGTATATTATTTATGGGTGTCTCTCGTGGTCTAGAGGTACCATGTTTGCCTCTCATTTAATAGATCCCGGTTTCGAAACTTGATTGCAACGGAAATGTTTTTCTCTAATCTAAAATGTTCTTCTTTCCCCTCCTTTTCTGGTTTCTAACCTTGCTTAATCGTCTGCTATCGTCTCCCCATTCTGCCCCC